ATGGGGGGTAAGGCGGTGATCAGGATGTTGGTATGGGGTATGGTGATGATCAGGACGCTGGTATGGGGGTATGGCGGTGATCAGGATGTTGGTATGGGGTATGGCGGTGATCAGGACACTGGTATGGGGTATGGCGGTGATCAGGATGCTGGTAACGGGTATGGCGGTGATCAGGTCAATGTTATGGGGTATGGCGGTGATCAGGATGCTGGTAACGGGTATGGCGGTGATCAGGACGCTGGTATGGGTATGTGATGACCAGGGTATGACGGGTTGATGACCAGGACTCTGGTATGGTGGTGATCAGGACGTTGGTATGGGGTATGGCGGTGATCAGGACGTTGGTATGGGGTATGGCGGTGATCAGGACGTTGGTATGGGGTATGGCAGTCATCAGGACGCTGGTATGTGGTATGTTGATGACCAGGACTCTGGTATGGCGGTGATCAGGATGCTTGTATGGGTTATGGCGGTGATCAGGTCAATGTTATGGGGTATGGCGGTGATCAGGATGCTGGTACGGGGTATGGTAGTGATCAGGACAGCGTACCTTCAGAGATCAAGTGGTGCCCATGCCTCGACTGGTTATGGCGGGTGGTCATAATGTTATGGCTGATCGGCTGAAATCTGGTTCTCTCGTGAGAGAGCGAGGCATACTTCCCTTAGTAGAGGGTTGTCAGTTGCTGGAGCCATTTACTGACAATGATGCATACAGATTCAGACTAGTGTGGTCAGCATTGCTGTTTTATTGCTTGTAGAGCGTGTGCTTATGACTGCATTTCAATAAAATTGCTTCTTGATATAAACATGAGGTTTCACTTGCCTGGCAGACTCTCGGTTTATAGGCGAATGTCCTTCATTCAAAGCACTCAGTCTGCGGTGCGAGAATCACACTAAATGCTGAGATGGATGTGTAGTTCTGCTGTCATGCAGCACCATCTAGTGGAAAACAATGCTTACTTACTACCCACTGTGCCCAATTAAAGCAGAACTCCAGCCTTCGATTCACTCTTGCCCAGTTGGACCAGTTCCTCTCCTGTACTGAAAAAACTTACTGTGATTCCAATGCACACTGTGAGAAGCTCAGTGTGCATTAGAAGCTGCAGCAAGTCAGATAAGAGCCCATCTCATTGACTGGCTGAAGACATACAGCATCATCTAGGCCAGCTTTGGGCAACTGTGGCCCTCCAGCTGTTGGTGAACTACAAGTCCCATCATGCCTCTGCCTTCGGGAGTCATGCTTGTAACAGTCAGTTTTACAATGCCTCATGGGACGTGTAGTTCTTCAAGAGCTGGAGGGCCACAGTTACCCACCCCTGATCTAGACACTTTCCTCCCCATATCTGACCCAGCCCTTTCAATCATGGGAGGTTCAGCATCAGAGGTGGGTGTTCTGCGTGCAAATTCAGCCTGCCTAGGATCACCCACTGCTCCAGACTGACACCCACCCATAAGGCATCTTGACATTTGCCTAACTCCTCCCAAGGGCCAGCCCACTTCTTCCATGAGGGTTCCTGGGAGGAGTACCAAGGCAGGGTGCTGTGATGTTCTCAGCAAATTATGCACAGCACCTTGGTGGCCCCTCCCACCAGGCACAATCTGCCTGCATTGCATAGAGAAGCACAGGGTCCAAACAATGACATCCCTGGGTCTAAAAAAGAATCGAGAGGGGAAAAAAAAAAGTTTTTTTTTTTTTTTAAATAAATTTCATTAGCATGTTGAGGGAGGAACCAAGAAAGACAAAATAAAACCGGAATAAACTTCAGCTCTTTCACTGCCAGATACCCTTTTTGTGGGTTTTTTGAACACTTAAAAAAATTTTAGGCCTGAAGATTACACAAATTCCCCAAACTATGATATACAGTTAGGTCCATATATATTTGGCACAATTTTAGTTTTTTTTCAGGTATTGACCAAAACATATTCAAGCTATAGTTCTATAATGGATATGGGCAGAAAGTGCACACTCTCAGGTTTAATTTGAGGGTATGTACATCCAAATTGGATGAAGGGTTTAGGAATTACAGCTCTTAAGAGTAGCCATCCCCCCTTTTTCAAGGGACCAAAAGTAATTGAACAACTGAATCAAAAGCTGTGTCATGGCCAGGTGTGGGCTACTCCTTCGTTATTTCTTAATTAAGCAGGTAAAAGATCTGGAGTTGATTCTAAGTGTGGATATTGCTGTGAAGCTACGTTATGCGTTCAAAGGAGCGGTCCATGAAAGTGAAACAGGCCAATGTAAGGCTTCAAAAACAAAACAAATCCATCAGAGAGATGGCAGCAACATTAGAAGTGGCCAAATAAACAGTTTGGTACATTCTGAGGGAAGAACGACGCACTGGTGAGCTCAGCTACATAAAAAGCGTGTGGACGTCCACGGAAGACAACAGTGGTGGATGATCGCAGGATCCTCTATTATCACAACATCCAGACAAGTGAAGGACACTCTCACATTATCAAAGTCTACAATCAAGAGAAGACTTCAAAAGAGCAAATACAGAGAGTTCACCACAAGGTGCAAACCATTCATAAGCCTGAAGAAAAGAAAAGCCAGATTAGATTTTGCCAAAAAACATCTTAAAAAAAAAAAAAAAAAAAAGCCAGACCAGTTCTGGAAAAGCATTCTTTGGACAGATGAAAGATTAATCTGTACCAGAATGACAAGAAAAAAAAAAGTGTGGAGAAGGCTTGGAACAGCTCATGATCCAAAGCACACAACATTATCTGTAAAACATGGTGGAGGCAGTGTGATGGCATGGGCATGCATGGCTTCCTGTGGCACTGGGTCATTGGTGTTTATTGCTGATGTGACAGAAGGCGCAGCATGAATTGTGCAGTGTTTACAGATATACTGTCAGCCCAGATTCAGCCAAATGCAGCAAAGGTGATTGGACCGCACATCACAGTACAGATGGACAATGATCCAAAACACACTGCAAAAGCAACCCAGGAGCTTTTGAAAGAATAGACATGGAATATTCTGCAATGGCCGAGTCAATCACCTGATCTCAATTGAGCATGAATTTCACTTGCTTAAGGCAAAATTAAAAGGCAGGAAGACCCACAAAGAACAACTGAAGACAGCTGCAGTTAGAGCCTGGCAAAGCATCAGAAAGGAGGAAACCCAGTCCATGGGTTCCAGATTTCAGGCAGTCATTGCCAGTAAAGGATTCTCAACAAAATATTACAAATTAACATTTTATTTATTTATGATTATATTCATTTGTCCAATTATTTTTGAGCCCCTGAAAACGGAGGGACTGTGTATAAAAATGGTTGCAGTTCCTAAAATTTGTACTTTAGATTTATGTTGAACCCCTTGAATTAAAGCTGAAAGTCAGCACTTCAAATTCATTTGGATTGTTTTGTTTTAATTTATTCTGGTGACATACAGAGCCAAAAATATGAAAATTGTACCTTTGTCCAAATATATATATGGACCCAACTATGTTCTGAAAGCAGACACCTTACAAAATAAAAATAGTGGTAGTTCCAATTTTTTAGGTCACACGATATTACCGCAAAAAGGTCTAAGAAACATAACATTTCGTAAAAAAAAATAAAGTAAATTTTAAGGCAAACAAAATGCAATAAATTACCCAGATTGTTAAAATATAAGATGAGGTTGCCGAGTAAATAGATACCAAACATGTTAAACATTAAAATTTGTGTGTGCCCATGAAATGGTGACAAACTTCAGTACCCTTTATTTTCTATAGGAGACGCTTCGAAAGCTGTACAGGTCATCAGTTTAGTGTTACAGAGGAGGTTTTCTGCCAGAATTGTTCACTCCGGCCTGCATGGCGATGTGTAACGTGTTTTCACATGCAAGCGCCCCTGACGTGCATGTTCACATTCATACGTGCGTATATGGGGGTTGGGGGTTCTCAATTCTTTGGGGCGGGGGGGGGGGGGGGCCGGTGTTATAGTCCGAACACGAGAATTAGGCCAATGCCAGAAGAAAAATTACTTTTACTGCCAAGACCTCCAAAAGTTTTAATTCAAGACCCCTGGTCTACTCAGATTATTTGAATGTCATTCATTTCCAACAAATAAAAAAAAAAAAAAAAAAACCCAGGCTATGTCATCCACAATCCCTTCTTTATTTCATTTGGTCACACAAACAAAAAACCTTGACATTGGATCTTTAACAGTTTACCAACAAGCATAAACTTTTTTTTTTCTTTGTAAAAATGGTGCCCCCTGCTGGCTATTCATTTAAAAAACAACAAACTCCCTGCAACAGGCACCACTGCTTTTACTATTATTACACACAAAACAATATGTGCTAAGAGAATGTGGAATAGATTTGAGCTGAATCTTCAGCATTAGAATTCTAATCTTGAGAAAATGGACAAACATTTAAAAAAAAAAAAAAAGTCTCCTTTCTCAAGCTCCCCAATTAACCTTTTCCCCCCCAACCCACCAAGAATTATCGCAATCCCCTGCAGGGAATTTTTAGGCACGCATTTCATACCAACGTCATTCACAGCCAAAATGGTTATTGAAGGTGTAATAGATGTGTATACGTTTAGTTTCCATCAGCCAATCAGCAGCTGACGTCTCATGGAAACAAACCCATGGGCATTCTTTAGCCTCTCTGTTGGGCGTACTGGGGAACGGACAGTGGTTTAATAAAGATGGCAGTAAAGTGACTTTCAGCAAAAAAAGGAAAAATATCAGGGGGTAAGGAAAATGCAAAAGAAAAATAAGAGCTCTATATAAAGAGCATGACGTTGATTCGGGAGGAGTATTGCACGGCGTCGCGCCTTAATCTCACAAGCAGTTTTATTTATTTATTTTAAAAGCAGGAAAGGACAAAGCTTTGGAATTCAGGAGTCAATACAATCTAAAGAGCCAGCAAGCTCCATTCAGGACCTAAGCCTGAGGAGGACCTAGGTGAGGCTGCAGAACTTCCAGGGAGGATGTTCGTGAGGCACGGTTGGATTTTTGGCTCCCGAGGTTTGTCCAGGCCTGCTTTAATGACTATATCTGGCCTATTACAATGCGTCTAAAATGTTGTCGATTTTGTTGACCAGTTCCTGGCGCTTGTTGGCATGCTGCTTTTCGTTCTCTATGTAACTATCCTTTTTCAGTTTGCCGGCGACCAGACGTTCGGCTTCGGAAGACGATTTTAGCACAATCTCCTTTACTTGACTGTCAAGCTTCTGGATCTCCGCAGCCTGTGTGGGCAATTAGAAGACATATGGATGAAGCCAGACATCTTACACAAGAATCAAGCTGCATTTAAAAGAGACATGTATCCTTGTCTGAGTATGCTAACCTCCCTAGCGGTCTGATTATGTCAGTATTTCTGTGCTCAAAGCGGTACTTTTTTTTTTTGCATGGAAATCTGTTTTTTTTATTGTAGGTCTGTAATTCTTAGGAATATCTCACTGAAATCTGTCCGAAGAAGAGAGTCTAGTAAACATGATAAAATTTGAAACACTAAATCATAAAACTATAATAAGCATAAAAAAATAAATAAATTTAATTCAATAATCAAAACCAAAAACACTGAAATGTGAAATATAGCGCCAAGTTCGCACATCACTGAGTTCAGTCGCAGAATCGTTTTCAGTGTCTGATGAGGAATTTCCCCCACGAATCATTATCACTCAATTCTGCAAGTGGTTCTGATTTACTATCGCTGTTCTCTAGCCGGTCTAAAACCGCTTTTGAAATAAAGGGACGCTTTTCGGACGCCATGGACGTTTCTCAGTTTCCAGGCAGAAAGAACAGTAAAAATGCAGGCAGGGCGCCGGACAAAGCACTCGGGACAAAATGTATGTGAAATGGTTTGATACAGGAATGTTATACTATGTGATTTTAGTGTATTTAGTGAATGTCACGTTTTTTTTAATTTTTTAATTTCCCGCCGGTTCCGTCCCCCGTACGTCCCGACGTCGAAGGGAACAGAACCCGGAAGACGGATTCCGGCATCGGCCAGAGGACATTGCCAGGGACACTGCAGGAGGGACATCGCGGAGCGCAGGACAAGGTAAGTGCTGGAGGATCCCAGAGCAACACTGCAGTGTAGTTCCAAGTGTAGCTCGGGGTTACCGCTTGTGGTGCTGAAAGTTAACCCCGAGCTACACTCGGGAATACCGCCGGGGGGGTAAAGAGGAGCCTCAGTCAGGCATGTGAAAATTAAAAGTCAGCAGTTACAAAAACTGTAGCCGACGACTTTTTCATAAAACACTGACTTGTCCCAGGGTCCGGCGCTGTCCTCATCCAGGCCAGTTTCTTCACCGGTCTTCAGTCCCTTGCATGTTATCTGTGGGCAGTCTGCTGTGGCTCCTTGCGGCTTCACAGTCAGCTGCTCATGGCACATGTGTGAGCTGTGCTGCACTTTCTGAATGTTCCCGCAGCATTCTGGGATCTGAAAAGTTTCTCAGAAGGCTGCAGGCAGGGAGGAAGGGGGAAAAGGGGATGGGTGGGAGAACTTCCGTTCAGATAACCCAGAGTGGAAAATCTCGAAGCGATCTTGGGTGCTTAACAGACCACCCTCACTGTTTCTTCTTTAGTGGCTGCCCCTACAAAAATACCAGGTGTTGGCTGGTGTCAAAGCTTAGCACATGCTCAGTTTGGTTTGTATTGTGGGAGATTTTTTTTTTTTTTAATATTTTGTCTTTGAAGAGTAGAGAGGGCCAATCAGCGCTGTCCAGAGGGTCAGGGGTTATGCAGCCTCATAGGACAGAGGAAAATGAAAACTCCTCCTACAAGATTAACCAGTGTTCAGCCAGACACTGATAGAAGTCACAAGACTGCTATATACTGCTGATGAGAAAAAGGTATTTAGCAGTTTAGATTTACTAAAATAACTGCATTTCCATGTTGTGTGTACTGTGGGAGACCAGATACAGTGAAGGCAGGGTCCGGGCAGACCTCATACAGTGAAGGCAGGGTCCGGGCAGACCTCATACAGTGAAGGCAGGGTCCGGGCAGACCAGACACAGTGAAGGCAGGGTCCGGGGGAGACCAGACACAGTGAAGGCAGGGTCCGGGGAGACCAGATACAGTCAAGGCAGGGTCCGGGCAGACCAGATACAGTCAAGGCAGGGTCCGGGGAGACCAGATACAGTCAAGGCAGGGTCCGGGGAGACCAGATACAGTGAAGGCAGGGTCCGGGGGACCAGACCAGACACAGTGAAGGCAGGGTCCGGGGAGACCAGACACAGTGAAGGCAGGGTCCGGGGAGACCAGACACAGTGAAGGCAGGGTCCGGGGAGACCAGATACAGTGAAGGCAGGGTCCGGGGAGACCAGATACAGTGAAGGCAGGGTCCGGGGAGACCAGATACAGTGAAGGCAGGGTCCGGGGAGACCAGATACAGTGAAGGCAGGGTCCGGGGAGACCAGATACAGTGAAGGCAGGGTCCGGGGAGACCAGATACAGTGAAGGCAGGGTCCGGGGAGACCAGATACAGTAAAGGCAGGGTCCGGGGAGACCAGATACAGTGAAGGCAGGGTCCGGGGAGACCAGATACAGTGAAGGCAGGGTCCGGGGAGACCAGATACAGTGAAGGCAGGGTCCGGGGAGACCAGATACAGTGAAGGCAGGGTCCGGGGAGACCAGATACAGTGAAGGCAGGGTCCGGGGAGACCAGATACAGTGAAGGCAGGGTCCGGGGAGACCTCATACAGTGAAGGCAGGGTCCGGGGAGACCAGATACAGTGAAGGCAGGGTCCGGGGAGACCAGATACAGTGAAGGCAGGGTCCGGGGAGACCAGATACAGTGAAGGCAGGGTCCGGGGAGACCAGATACAGTGAAGGCAGGGTCCGGGGAGACCTCATACAGTGAAGGCAGGGTCGGGGAGACCTCATACAGTGAAGGCAGGGTCCGGGGAGACCTCATACAGTGAAGGCAGGGTCCGGGGAGACCTCATACAGTGAAGGCAGGGTCCGGGGAGACCTCTTACAGTGAAGGCAGGGTCCGGGGAGACCTCATACAGTGAAGGCAGGGTCCGGGGAGACCAGATACAGTGAAGGCAGGGTCCGGGGAGACCAGATACAGTGAAGGCAGGGTCCGGGGAGACCAGATACAGTGAAGGCAGGGTCCGGGGAGACCAGATACAGTGAAGGCAGGGTCCGGGGAGACCTCATACAGTGAAGGCAGGGTCCGGGCAGACCTCATACAGTGAAGGCAGGGTCCGGGGGGAGACCAGATACAGTGAAGGCAGGGTCCGGGGAGACCAGATACAGTGAAGGCAGGGTCCGGGGAGACCAGATACAGTGAAGGCAGGGTCCGGGGAGACCAGATACAGTGAAGGCAGGGTCCGGGGAGACCAGATACAGTGAAGGCAGGGTCCGGGGAGACCTCATACAGTGAAGGCAGGGTCCGGGGAGACCAGATACAGTGAAGGCAGGGTCGGGGAGACCAGATACAGTGAAGGCAGGGTCCGGGGAGACCAGATACAGTGAAGGCAGGGTCCGGGGAGACCTCATACAGTGAAGGCAGGGTCGGGGAGACCTCATACAGTGAAGGCAGGGTCCGGGGACCTCATACAGTGAAGGCAGGGTCCGGGGAGACCTCATACAGTGAAGGCAGGGTCCGGGGAGACCTCTTACAGTGAAGGCAGGGTCCGGGGAGACCTCATACAGTGAAGGCAGGGTCCGGGGAGACCAGATACAGTGAAGGCAGGGTCCGGGGAGACCAGATACAGTGAAGGCAGGGTCCGGGGAGACCAGATACAGTGAAGGCAGGGTCCGGGGAGACCAGATACAGTGAAGGCAGGGTCCGGGGAGACCAGATACAGTGAAGGCAGGGTCCGGGGAGACCTCATACAGTGAAGGCAGGGTCCTGGGTTTAACAACATTACGTGTCTGCTGACATCATATCCAAGATGGTGCCCAGCAGCAGTGTTTGAGGCTTTGAATGCCTACAGAAAAGGTTGTTTTACATGTAAACATCATACATAAAATATGCTAATATTCACACAATGGGAAGATTAAAGCTGAAATGAATGGTCTATTGACAAGATCTCTATAAAGCTATTTATTCACAAGACCTATGGTCTTGTCGATCATAAAAAAAAAAAAACCCTACTAGCTGACAACAGGAGCCAATCTGGGGGAAAAAAAATAAATAAATAAAATCACCTTGTCACATAGGTCTGACCCTTCTGCTTTCAGTTTGGCTTGCAGAGATGTAATTTCATTAGTCAGGTTCTTGTGATCCATCTCTAAAGTTTTCTTGCCACTGTTCAAACTGGAAATATCTCGGAACTGCTTATATTTATTCACGGCTTCATCAAAGTGACGGTACAGGCCGAGTCTCTTGTTCACCAAGGTGAGGATCTGCTCTGTAATACAAGCCACTTTCATCTTTGCTTCTGCTGCCGGGTCCTAAAAAGAAAAAAGAAAAATCATAAAGAAGGGAGAATTCACAATTTCCTGAGGACGATTCACCTTCAAGGACTGTTATGAAGCCGCCGCAGTATCACACAAGGTGGGCAAATGGTGGGAGATAAACCTCACAAGCCAAAAAATTACCACAAGGTTTGTGGGGAAGGGGGGACAGGACATAAACTCATCAAGAAAAAAAAGTTTTTTTTTTTTTTTTTTCCCTTAACCACTTCCAGTCCGGACACTTTCACCCCCTTCCAGTCCAGGGCAATGTTCAGCTTTTAGCACTATCACACTTTGAATGACAAATTGCGCGGTCATGCAACACTGTACCCAAATGAATTTTTTACCATTTTTTTGAGACAGATAAAGCTTTATTTTGGTGGTATTTTTTCACCACTGGGATTTGTATTTTTTTTGCTATGTAAATGAAATGTCCAAAAATTTTGAAAAAAAAGTGTTTTTTTTTAATAAAATTTTGCAAATAAATATTTCATCATAAATCTTAGCCAAAATTTATTCCGTTCTCTTTTTAGTAAAAAAAAAATCCAAATTAGTTTATAATCAAAAATTATAATTTTTAAACATTTTTTTTTTTACATTTTTATATTCTTATTTTTTATTTTTTTTTTTTTTACATACTGTCACCCTAGCAGTACAGTGTCACCATGGTGACACTGTACTACTTGTGGGGGGTGATGAAGATTTTTTTTTTTTTTTTTTTACACCGATTGCTTTTACACCCATATAGGATGTAAAAGCAATCATTTCTCTCTCTGTGTGCATTCTTGCACTCATTGAGAAGTACTGAGTGAGCTGTGATTGGTCACAGCTTGTCACATGGTACAAGGCTTTTGTGAATAGCCTTGTACCATGTGACCTCTGTGATCATTCACAGATTTCACACGTAGTAAGCAATGATGTCACAAGTGACATCTTGCTTACTACTTTGCATGTGATCACTGATTGGCCAATCAGTGATCACATGATTGGGACCTCGTACAGAGGTCCCGGCCGACGATCGGTGTTTCACTGTGTCCGGAGGACACAGCGGGCACCGGATCGCGGTGCTGCGCGCTCCCAGGGAGCGTGCACAAGCAGGGTGCGGGGAGGCCGTTTATAAATGGCCACCCGACCCTGCAGTGCCACCGTCCGGCCGTTTATATGCAACGGCCGGTCGGGAAGTGGTTAAGTAAAAAACACAACTCTGGCATCTATGCCAAGTGTGTCCTACTCTAGGCTGAGGTCTTCATGGTCTCTCAGAAAACACAAGGAATCACTGGCCGGGCCCGGTAACTGAAAGCCGAGGCCGCAAATGGCAGTGCGGGTAGGGCGCACATGCCCCCTACCCAGAACTGCTAACTCACACACACGTGATTTTGCACACCCGTGCCACTCTGTAGCAGTATTTATGCTATAAGGCGGCACCGAAGCAGTTAATTAGGAGCTGGCAAAGAATTGCAAGTACAATCTCAGGGTCTTACAGACTGTCAGTGTAATTGTCTGCCCAGATCGCATACAAGCAGGCAGTTACTGAATGACAGGAACAATCAATGAACTACCAACAGCACTCATCAGCTACCTGATAGTTCATTGAGAACTACAAGTCGAGAGCCACAAATGTTGCTTTTTTTTTTTTTTTTTTTTTGTTTTTAAACAGAGTGAATGAGAGCAGAGGAACCCCAACCCACTATCACGACAGACTGGGGGGGAAGCTGCTCATTTAGTAACATGTTACACCCTGGATACAGATGTAACATGATACGGAATGTGAACATATCCTTGTAAAAAAATGTAAGCTCCTTGGAGAACAGGGTCTAATGTGAACATCCAGTATGTAGAGTGCTATATAAAATCCTTGTAACAATGATAATTAGCTGTAGAAAGCAGTAGATGCTAGACTGCAAGGACTGAATGCCTCCTTAACCCCTTCGCCCCGTCGCCTCCCGGCCCTTTAACCTCCCTAGCGGTTAGATTATGTCCATATTTCTGTGCTCAAAGCGGTACATTTTTTGCATGGAAATGTGTTTTTTTTTTATTGTAGGCCTGTAATTTTTAGGAATAACTCACTGAAATCTGTCCGAACAAGAGTCTAGTAAACATCCCGGGTATGATAAAATGTGAAACACGAAATCATAAATTATAATTTAATAAATAATCATCATAAATAATAATATATAATAAATTTAATTCAATAATATAATCAAACCAAAAACACTGAAATTTGAAATATAGCGCCAAGTTCGCACATCGCTGAGCAAAGTCGCAGAATCGTTTTCAGTGTCTGATGAGGAATTTCCCCCACGAATCATTATCACTCAATTCTGCAAGGGGTTCTGATTTACTAACGCTGTTCTCTAGCCGGTCTAAAACCGCTTTTGACCTAAAGGGACGCTTTTTTGGACGCCATGGACGTTTCTCAGTTTCCAGGCAGAAAGAACAGTAAAAATGCAGGCAGGGCGCCGGACAAAGCACTCGGGATAAAATGTATGTGAAATGGTTTGATACAGGAATGTTATACTATGTGATTTTAGTGTATTGAGTGAATGTCACTTTTTGTCATTTTCAAATTTCCCGCCAGTTCCGTCCCCCGTACGTCCCGACGCTTGCAGGGGACGGAACCCAGAAGACAGATGCCGGCATCCGCCGGATTACATTGCCGGGGACACCGCAGGAGGGACATCGCGGGAGCGCAGGACAAGGTAAGTGAAGAACAGATGCCGGAGCAGTGCCGCATGGTAAGCCTGAGTGTAGCTCGGGGTCACCGCTTTTGGTACTGAAACTTTACCCCGAGCTACACTCGGGAATACCATCAGGGAGGCTACGGGTTTCAGAAGCTGGGAGGCGGGGCTTAGGGTCATGTGACCATCATGACACAGTCACATGATCGGGAAAGGTCCCAAGCGCAAGAGGAGATCGGGACCTTTCCGTGAGTACTGGACGTGTGCTGGGAGCGCACAGTGCGCGTGCTCTCAGCACATATGTTCTTTAATAGAACGCAAATGTGCGGCCGGAGTGTAGGCCCAGACGCCGGGAGGCCGCACATTTGCGTTCGGCGGCGGCGTGAAGAGGTTAACATCTGCCGCAAAAAATGAGAATTTTCAAATCCTGCTCATGTTACACTAACCATGGTTGTCCAACTAAGTTTCAGAAAGTTTGGCCATTAAGCCCTTAACCGTTGAAACTTCCAATTTGGGATAGATTTTTTTTTTTTCCCCCCACTTGCATTCCCATGCTCTGGGAATGCCTAGAATGTACCAGTTGCCCCACCCTAGAAAACCAAGTTCTTTTGAGCAGGGCCCTCTTAACCCCCTTGTATCTCATTGTATTGTAACTGTACCGTCTTCCTTTTCGATTGTAAAATGCTGCGCAAACTGTTCGCGCTATATAAATCCAGAATAAAAGCAATAATAAATATTGTAGGTTTCCTTTATCAACTTTTTTTTACTTTGATCTCCTATTTGTATATTTTGCAATGATTTCCCTCCTGCTCTACAAAATAAGCCTGATAATAAAGCCAGGTGTGGTACAAATATATAAAAACGACTGACCAGAACCAGCCGGTACCGGGAACAAACCAGAATGCAGGGAAGGTTAGGTGGGGAGTTGGAATGGTAAAAGGCACAAAAAGCGAGGGAGGAAACATGACAAACCTTCGTGATGGAGAAGTCCAGCCTGACGTAGAGGATGACAGTAAAGAACAGGATGTAGAAGGCTCCCACCACCAGCAGAGGCTCCTGGAGCATCAGAATCTTGTTGAAGGTGTAATGGATCACTACGTCCTGGATATGCTGTTCAACCAGATTGTTCTTGTAAGCCACAATAACTGGACGACCAAACGTGTCAAGATACGTGTAGTGCAGCTCGTTGGGGGCTCTATTTACATCAAATGGGTAGTCCACATGGATATTTCTAAAAAGACAACAAACATAGAGCTAATCTGCTGAACCCGAGCAGAAGACAGAACAGGATTTTTGAACTCAACATAAAATACTTTTCTTGAAGTCCATTGAGGGACACAGCATGGTGATAATTAACCACTTAAGTGCCAGAAGATTTTACCCCCCTTCATGACCAAGCATTTTTTGATAATCTGCAGAGAGCTACTTTAAAATGGCAATTGCACAGTTATGCAACACTGCATCTAAATTTAGATCATTTTTGTCACACAAATAGAACTTTCTTTCTTTCTACGGTATTTGATCACCACTGGTTTTTTTTTTTATTATACAACGGGTAAAAAATATATTGAACAAGTCACCATTTTTCTCAGTAAATATATTTTTAAAGGTGCCATTCACATGAAATGTTTTACCACATGGTCAGTAACAATCCATACAAAGAAACCAAAACATCTGTTCAGAAATTAAAGTTATGGGTAATAAAATGGAATGACACATGAAAAAAAGTATTGAACACTCCAACTAAAATGTAATGCTTGGTGCAAAATCCTTTGTTGGTAACTATTATTATTACATTGAGTTTATATAGCGCCAAAGGGTTTGCTCAGCGCTGTACAATAGGGGGGGGACAATACATGAAACAGTACAGCAACTACAAACAGCACATGAGGGTTAGAGGGCCCTACTCTTTGGAGCTTACAATCTAGGAGGGAGGGGATAGTGGTACAGGAGGAAGTGGCTGTGGGGGATGGAGTGGTAGGAGGAATGAAGGCGAACGGCTGTTAGGAGAGGGTGGGGTAGGCTCCCCTGAAGAGGTGGGTTTTCAGGGAGCACCTGAAGGTGAGGAGGAAAGGTGACAGTCTGATGGATTGGGGTAGTGAGTTCCAGAGGATGGGGGAGGACCTGGAGAAGTCTTGCAGTCGTGTGTGGGAGGAGGAGACCAGGGAGCAAGATAGAAGGAGGTCCTGTGAAGAGCGATGGGTACGGGTAGGGTGGTACCTGGGAATCAGGTTGGTGAGGTAGTTAGGGGCAGTGTTATAAATGGCTTTGTAGGGCAGAGTGAGTGGTCTGAATTTGATGCACTGGGCGATAGGGAGCCAGTGGAGGGATAGGCAGAGGTAGGGTGGCAGAGGTGGAGCGGTTGGTAAGGTGGATGAGTCTAGCCGCTGAGTTCAGGATGGTCTGAAGCGGGGGAAGAGCCTGCACTGGGGTAGGCTGGTGAGGAGGGAGTTGCAGTAGTCGAGGCGTGAGAATCAGGGAGTGTACTAGTTTAGTGGTGTCTGGGGTAAGGAACACTTCAATACGCCTCTTGTATGGAGAAACTAGTTGCATGCATTGCTCACGTGTGATTTTGGCCCATTCTTTCACACGAACAGTCTTCAAATCTTGAAGGTTCCGTAGGCCTCTTCCATGAACTCTGATCTTTTGTGCTTTCCAAAGATTTTCTAATTGGATTCAAGTCAGGGGATTGCTGGGCCGTTCTAGCAGCTTTATTTTCTCTTAAACCCAATGAAGAGTTTCCTAGGCTGTGTTTGGGATCATTGCCTTGTTGAAATGTCTTCCCTCATTTCATCTTCATCATCCTGGTAGATGGCAGCCGATTTTGATCAAGAATGTTTTGGTACATTTTTCCATTCATCCTTCTTTAAAGCGGAGCTCCACCCAAAAGGGGAAGTTCTGCTTTAAGGACTTCTCCCCCACTCCCCATTAAGGATTGGCACCTTTGGGGGGGCGGGTACCCGAATTTGACAGGTACCTGCTCCAATTTCCGGTCTGATCACCTAGGCGATCGGAAAGTGTCCTCCCTCCCTTCCTGTAGTCTTTTTGGACACTTGACAGGTCCCAGAAGACTACAGGACCATTCATGAAGCGCAGCACTACTCGCGCATGCGCAGTGGGTACCCCGCTGTGGAGCCGCAAGCTATCACAGCCGGATGCCCACACTGAAGATGCCAGCCTCCTGGAATCCAGGACGGCCGGTAAAATGGGCTGCGAGGGACACACCACGGGTTCGAGGGACAGGCAAGTGGCTGCTTTTTAAAAGTCAGCAGCTACAGTTTTTGTAGCTGCCGGCTTTTATTTGACAGGTGAGTGGAACTCCGCTTTAATGACATGAAGTTTGCCAGTACCGTATGCTGAAAACCAGCCCCGCACCATGATGCTCCCCCCTCCATGCTTCACAGTTGGGATGGTGTTTTTGGAGTGATGCGCAGTGCCATGTGACCTCCAAACACGGTGTGCATTATGGCATCCAAAAAGAGTTCTACTTTGGTCTCATCTAACCAGGCTATATTCTCCCAGTATTTCACAGGTTTGCCTAAATGTTGTGCAACAAACTTTAAACAAGCTTCAACATGCTTTTTTTCCCCCCAGCAATGGAGTCTTGTGTGGCGAGCATGCATACAGGCCATGGCAGTTGAGTGCATTACTTATTGTTTACTTTGAAACAATTATACCTGCTAATTCCAAGTCTTTCTGAAACTCTCCACAGGTGGTCCTTGGCTCTTGGACAACTATTCTGATAATTCTTTTTACTACTGTCAGAAATCTTGCAAGAAGCACCTGGTCGTGGCCGGTTTTATGCTGTAATGATGTTCTTTCCGCTTCTGGACTATGGCCCCAACAGTGCTCACTGGAACATTCAGAAGTTTAGGAATTCTTCTGTAATCAATGCCATTAATATGCTTTGCAACAATAAGGTTGTGTAGGTCTTGGAGAGAGCTCTTTGCTTTTGCCCATCATGAGAAGTTTCTTGTGCGACACCTTGGTAATGAGACACCTTTTTACAGCCCATCAGTTGATACTTAACCACTGATATTAATTTTGCACTGACAAGGGGGCAGGATTGCTATCTAATTACTGACAGATTTCAGCTGGTGTCTTGGCGGAGATTTTTTTTTTTTTTTTTTTTGCAGAGACCCTACAGAATAAAATGGCATTTGATGCAACTTTTTACATTACACGGTATATTGCGCAGCAACTTTTCAAACGCAGTTATTTTGGAAAAATACAATTTTATAATGAATTTTAATGCGAAAAAAACAAATATAAATAACTAAATTTTTGGTCAAATATGAAAGATGATTATGTTAAGCCGAGCACATATGATACCCAACATGTCTGAAAAGAAAAACACACACACACATACACACACACACACACACACACATACATATATATACAGTGGGGATCGAACGTTTGGGCACCCCAGCTTAAAATTTGTATTAATGTGCATGAAAGAAGCCAAGGAAAGATGGAAAAAATCTCCAAAAGGCATCAAATTACAGATTAGACATTCTTATAATATGTCAAAAAAAGTTAGATTTTATTTCCATCATTTACACTTTCAAAATAACAGAAAACAAAAAAAAGGCATCTGCAAAAGTTTGGGCACCCTGCAGAATTTATAGCATGCACTGCCCCCTTTGCAAAGCTGAGACCTGCCAGTGTCATGGATTGTTCTCAATCATCGTCTGGGAAGACCAGGTGATGTCAATCTCAAAGGTTTTAAATGCCCAGACTCATCTGACCTTGCCCCAACAATCAGCACCATGGGTTCTTCTAAGCAGTTGTCTAGAAAACTGAAACTGAAAATAGTTGACGCTCACAAAGCTGGAGAAGGCTATAAGAAGATAGCAAAGCGTTTTCAGATGTCAATATCCTCTGTTCGGAATGTAATTAAGAAATGACAGTCATCAGGAACAGTGGAAGTTAAAAGCAACATCTGGAAGACCAAGAAAAATATCAGACAGAAGAGCTCACAGGATTGTGAGAAAAACAATTCAAAAACCCACGTTTGACTGCACGATCCCTCCAGAAAGATCTGGCAGACACTGGAGTTGTGGTACACTATTCCACTATAAACAGATACTTGTACAAATATGGTCCTCATGGAAGAGTCATCAGAAGAAAACCTCTTCTACGTCCTCACCACAAAAATCATCGTTTGAACTTTGCAAATGAACATATAGACAAGCCTGATGCATTTTGGAAACAAGTTCTGTGGACCGATGAGGTTAAAATTGAACTTTTTGGCCGGAATGAGCAAAGGTACGTTTGGAGAAGAAGGGGCACAGAATTTAATGAAAAGAACCTCTGTCCAACTGTTAAGCATGGGGTTGGATCAATCATGCTTTGGGGTTGTGTTGCAGCCAGTGGCACAGGGAACATCTCACGAGTAGAAGGAAAAAATGGATTCAATAAAATTTCAGCAAATTTTGGATGGTAACTTGATGCCATCTGTGAAAAAGCTGAAGTTAAAGAGAGGATGGCTTCTACAAATGGATAATGATCCTAAACACACCTCGAAATCCACGGGGGATTACATCAAGAGGCGTAAACTGAAGGTTTTGCCATGGCCTTCACAATCTCCTGACCTCAACATAATTGAAAATCTATGGATAGACCTTAAAAGAGCCGTGCGTGACAGACAGCCCAGAAATCTCAAAGAACTGGAAGACTTTTGTAAGGAAGAATGGGCAAAGATACCTCAAACAAGAATTGAAAGACTCTTGGCTGGCTACAAAAAGCGTTTACAAGCTGTGATACTTGCCAAAGGGGGCAGTACAAGATATTAAACTCTGCAGGGTGCCCAAACTTTTGCAGACGCCATTTTTTTTGTTTTCTGTTATTTTGAAAGTGTAAATGATGGAAATAAAATCTAACTTTTGTTGACATATTATAAGAATGTCTAATCTGTAATTTGATGCCTTTTGGAGATTTTTCCATCTTTCCTTGGCTTCTTTATGCACATTAATACAAATTTTTAGCTGGGGTGCCCAAACTTTCGATCCCCACTGTATATACACACACACACACATATATATATACATACACACACACACACAAATATACTATATATATTTATTATACAGTATTTATAAAACGCCAATAGTTCGCTCAGCGCTGTACATTACAAAGGGGGACAGAACAATACCAATACAATGCAAAACATGAGGGGATCGAGGGCCCTGCTCTTTCGAGCTTACAATCTAGGAAAATTTTTATTTATATATATATATATATATATATATATATATATATATATATATATATATATATATATATATATATATATATATATATATATATATATCATCCAGATATCTCCACATCGTCACTCAAAGTCCAGGATGTCATATGACATCATACAGGTGGGAAGTGGCAGTAGAACACTAAGTTACTTAATTATCAAGCCGTGTCCCACAGGAAAACAATGTGTACATTTAGACAACAGTATATATTATGATAGCTTACTTTGCTCCTTCAGGTAAGATGATCTTAACGGTCAGCGAATCCACAACTTGCTCATCAAACACGTGGTCAATAAAGCGCATCTTCAGAGCATACTGATCACCTGTGGGGAAGGAGGACATCAGAATGATAGCTGGTGGCAACATAGTTCTATGATTTGGGCACCTGAACCAACAACGAGCACAAACTCAGCTTACAGATATGGACCTGCACAGGCTACGTCTCAAATCCTGCTAATCACGCTGGGCCTTGTTAACTGTAGCATCCGAGACTGCATGCTATGAAGCAATACAGACAGTTCAGTTGGCGACAAGATTTTTATCTGACTCACCAAGGTTGTAGAGATATTCATAACTTGGCAGGTTGTATCCAACCATGTAATGTGTTTTCCAGCCTCCGAATAGTGGAAATCTGGGCCTGATCTCCATCTCCACGGAGTCCTCAAGAATTAGGAGGTTGGCTGGTGGAAAATATTTCCGATCTCATCCCTGTAGTATACATCCTGGGCAGCCGCGGGCAGGATGGTCTGGAAGACAAAACCTTCTCATAAGCAAAAGAATTACTCAGAACAGATGTAGGACACTAGAGTTAAAGTTGAACTCCATAAGAAAAAAATAAAATATATATATATATATATTTATTATTATATATATATATATATTTGTTATTAATATATATTTATATTTGTTATTTATATATTTGTTATTATTGTTATTAATATATTTGTTGTATATATATATAAATATATATATTATTATATATATATATAATAATAATAATATTAATAATAATAATAATAATAATAATAATAACAACAACGTATATATATATATATATATATATATATATATATATATAAATATATATATATAAAAAAAAAACAAATATATATATAAATAAAACTAATAACTGTGTGCACCAAATGCCTTTGCAAATGCAGATATTGCTTTGTAAAATCAACAATGACCTCACCACTGTGCTAGAATGCCTATGTAGAGAGCAATGCTGTGGGGGAGGTACTTAGAAGCCCCACCTACTAAAGTAGGCCTGCAGAAAACTACAGGAAGGGGCGGATGGATAGGGGAGGACAAGACCAGTCACCCTGCACAAGGAGAGAGAGCAGCAGTGACTGGTCTTTATTAGAGGAAGCTCCTGCATAAAGAGAAAGTTTCACACTGGATTACTGCTTAGATCTGAAAAATGCACAAAGCACACCAGGATTCAAGTAGGAACACACATACAGTATATGCCCCTTGTATTTAGACAATATTTGCTTATCATCGAGTTTTTTTTTTTTTTTTTTTTATGTGTCGGATAAATACAGAACATAAAAATATACATTCAGTACATCTTTTTCTATAGAGATATGACATGGGGAAAATTGTGCAATTAGAAGTACAAATACCCACTGAGCGTCCAGAAACCCAGTGAGCTTCTAACTTCCTAATTCAACTGACAAAGCTCCCTGCTGCTGCCGCCAGAACTGCTTACTTCTCCCCTGCTGGACTACAGAACTCCTAACCCTTATGTTACAAAGAAAACTTGGGGGGGGGGGGGGGGGTTTAGTGCTCTCTGTGGTCTAGTAGGGGTTATTTGGACAGGGTTGACATACACTTATTGCCAAAAAGTATTGGTCGGCCGGCCTTTACACACACGAAAAGGCCGGTATCCCAGTCTTAGTCCGTAGGGTTCAATATTGAGTTGGCCCCACCCTTTGCAGCTATAACAGCTTCAACTCTTCTGGGAAGGCCGTCACAAGGTTTAGGAGGGTGTCTATGGGAAGGTTGGACCATTCTTCCAGAAGCACATTTGTGAGGTCAGGCACTGATGTCGGGGGGAGGAGGCCTGGCTCGCAGTCTCAGCTCTAATTCATCCCAAAGGTGTTCTATGGGGTTGAGGTCAGGACTCTGCAGGACAGTCAAGTTCCTCCACCCCAAACTGGCTCCTCCATGTCTTTATGGACCTTGCTTTGTGCACTGGTGGGCAGTCATGTTGGAACAGGAAGGGGCCATCCCAAACTCTTCCCACAAAGTTGGGAGCATGAAATTTTCCAAAATGTCTTGGTGTGTGCCGACGCCTTAAGAGTTCCCTTCACTGGAACTAAGGGGCCAAGCCCAACCCCTGAAAACAACCCTACACCATAATATCCCCTCCACCAAACTTTACACAATGCAATCAGGCAAGTACCGTTCTTCTGGCAACCCCCAAACCCAGACACACCTCCATCAGATTTGCAGACAGAGAAGCGTGATTGGTCACTCCAGAGAACATGTCTCCACTGCTCTAGAGTCCAGTGGCGGCATGCTTTACACCACGGCATCTGACACTTTGCATTGCACTTGGTGATGTAAGGCTTGGATGCAGCTGCTCGGCCATGGAAACCCATTCCATGAAGCTCTCTATGCACGATTGTTGGGCTCATCTGAAGGCCACACCGAGTTTGGAGGTCTTTAGCCATTGAGTCTGCGGACAGTTGGAGACTTCTGCGCACTTCAGCATGCGCCGACCCTGCTCTGTCATGTGACGTGGCCTACTACTTCATGGCTGAGTTGCTGGTGTTCCCAGTTGCTTCCACTTTGTTCTAATCCCACTAACAGTTGACCGTGGAATATTTTAGTAGCCAGGAAATGTCACAGATGGACTTATTGCACAGGTGGCCACCTATCACGGGACCACGCTTGGAGTCACTGAGCTCCTGAGAGCAACCCATTCTTTCACCAATGTTTGTAGAAGCAGTCTGCATGCCTAGGGGCTTGATTGTATACACCTGTGGCCATGGAGTGGATTGGAACACCTGAATACAAGGATTTGGGGGGGGGGGGGGCAATAATTTTGGCAATATAGTGTAACTGCTTGAGATTTTAGTACAAGAGGCACAGGGGCTGATGTATTAAAGGAAAATACAGTGTCCTCTGCAAGTGCAGTTGCCCAAGAGCTTAGTAAATGAGGTAAAGCTTTATTTTGCAAAGAATACCCAATCACATGCAGGGGAAAAAAAAAAAAAAAAAAAAAAAAAGCAAAACACCACACAGTATTTTAACTTGCACATGATTGGATGACAGAAATCAGCAGAGCTTCCCCTCGAATCCAGAGCTTTTTAATGTGCTCTATTCGGTTTATAATCCACACACCAAGATAGGGTGAGTCAGAGAGATCCCTTTGATGGGTGGGTACACCCCAAATGATTGCATTTTTTCCTTTTGTTTACATTTTCATTGTTAACTGCATTCTTGCATTAAAAAAAAAAAAAAAAAATAGTCAAGTGAAAAGCGACCTTTCCTTTTACAAATTGATTACAGTTTACAGATCTCCTCCATTTCTTACCTTAAAGGATTTGACAGATGAAATGCCGCTGTCTGGCTGCCTCTGGTAGTCGTATCTGGAGAAGGGACCTTTTAGACTGGCTCCAGTGTGCTTCAAGTCAACGGTCTCCTCAACTGCAATGTTACCCAGTGAGAGACTTCGATAACCCGGGTCATGCTGGTAATGGTCAGGAAGGGGCTGTTGTTCTCATAGTGAATCTTCAGGGGGTCCTGAAGGAGGATTAGATTAGCAGATTAGGCTTTTGTCAAAGAGGAAAAGATCACATAGAGAAGGTAAATTTCCTCCAGTGGGGACACACATGGCAATAAAACCAACAAGTGTCCTAGCCCTTCCCTACTTTAACAGAAAAAAAAACTTTCTGCGGATGCACTTCACTTGCGCGAGGTTACACGGTTAATTTGTTGGCAGGCAACAGAGTGGTAACATTATTCACTATGAATGAACGGCAATGCTGAAGAAATCAACATAGCGGGCTGAATGGCACTTACATGACTCCAGGCAGGGATGTCCTTGAATGGACCATACTCGATGGTGTCATCAGATCGGGATGGGTTTCCCAGCTTGGTGTAGCTCTCGACATTTCTTGAGGCCAGTTTAACACGTGTGGTTTGGGACGTGGTGGCATATGGGGAGTAGAAGTAATGGTTTCCTTCAAAGGTTACAAACTGCTTCTCAGCCTGTGTGATCATGGTGGGGTACGGATGCAGGACATGTGTATAAAACAGCCTCAACGATGACCTTGGTCTTGGCTCCAGGGGAAAGAGATGACGGGAGGACGACTGAATATTGTTTTCCTCTATTAGAGACCAATCAAACTCAGATCAATAAGCAGTTTAAACAAGAAATACACTTCACAAAATAAGGACAAACATCTGTGATTGCCTCTCTCCCATCAGAATGCTGTTGTGGACATGCGCCCCTACACCCCCTCTGCCCTTTTCCAGCCATGTGCATAACAGGCAACTTTTACCAGTACGTTCTGTGTACTTAAGGGCTCGTTCACAACTTGACTGTTTTACCAACTCTTGCCAAACGCCCCTATAGTGTTTGGCAAGCGTTGGTCCGGCATTTGCGCTGTTTAGTGTGGATGCTAGGAGTTTGCAGAGCGTTAGAAAAAACGCCCTACAAAACACCTATAATGAAGTTTGAATGGTGTTACCACTCCGCAAACGCCCCGCAACCGGCGTTTGCGGAGCGGCACCAATAGACTTGAATAGGAGGCTTCAACGCCTCCTGACTCGACCAGAGGCGTCCTTTTTGCCGCGACACTAACGCTCCCGTTAGAACAGCACCATGTGCTGCAATGTGCAGAATTGTCCGAGGCGTTTGGGAAGCGGTAAAAACGCTTCCCAAACGCCTCTCTGCCGCCTGCACACAACGCTAGTGTGAACGTAGCCTTATACCCAGGATCCTTTGAATTTCTCCCAAGAGTTACAATGTAGCCACACCATCCATCTGAATGCCTTTAACCTCCCTAGCGGTCTGATTATGTCCATATTTCTGTGCTCAAAGCGGTACATTTTTTTGCATGGAAATAGGTATTTTTTTTTATTGTAGGCCTGTAATTTTTAGGAATAACTCACTGAAATCTGTCCGAACAAGAGTCTAGTAAACATCCCGGGTATGATAAAATTTGAAACACAAAATCATAAACTATAATTTAATAATCATAAAAAAATATAATAAATTTTAATTCAATAATATAATCAAACCAAAATCACTGAAATGTGAAATATAGCGCCAAGTTCGCACATCTGAGCAAAGTCGCAGAATCGTTTTTCAGTGTCTGATGACAAATTTCCCCCACGAATCATTATCACTCAATTCTGCAAGTGGGTTCTGATTTACTATCGCTGTTCTCTAGCCGGTCTAAAACCGCTTTTGACCTAAAGGGACGCTTTTTGGACCCCATGGACGTTTCTCAAAATTCAAAATTGAAATTCATGCTGAAGCATGGGGGTTTTTCCATGCAATTTAAGGCACTTTAAGATGATGCCTCACTGAAGTGGATGGTGCAGCTACATTGTAAAGTAAAAACCAACACCACAAAAAACTGCCACTTACATTTACACAAATTGTGGGGAAGTTACCTGACTGCTAATAATGGAAACTGCTGGAATACTGGAAACCTCCCACGTATGCAGATTAGATTTTGACTGACAGCACAACTCCAGCCAAACCTTTGTTTTTTTGGACAGGGTGAACACCGTATGAACCAAACATGCTTTGTGGTCCAAATGCTTGCAGACAGTGGAGGCTCAGTTATTCCACCGTCATCTCTACATAGTATCAGTGGCCTGAATTAGTATACAACTACCTTGGAGGAGGCAAAAGGGAAAAAGGAGGCAAAAGGGAAAAAAGGAGGCAAAAGGGAAAAAGAGGCAAAAGGGAAAAAGGAGGCAAAAGGGAAAAAGGAGGGAAAAAGGGAAAAAGGAGGGAAAAAGGAAAAAGGAGGGAAAAGGGAAAAAGGAAAAAAGGAGGGAAAAGGGAAAAAGGAAAAAGGAGGGAAAAGGGAAAAAGGAGGAAAAGGAGGGAAAAGGAAAAAGGGAAAAAGGAAAAAGAGGAAAAGGAGGGAAAAAGGGAAAAGGAGGAAAAGGGAAAAGGAGGGAAAAGGGAAAAGGAGGAAAAGGAGGGAAAAGGGAAAAGGGAGGAAAAGAGGGAAAAAGGAAAAGGAGAAAAGGAGGGAAAAGGGAAAAGGAGGAAAAGGAGGGAAAAAGGAAAAGGAGGAAAAGGAGGGGAAAGAGGAAAAAGGAGGGAAAAAGGAAAAGAAGGAAAAGGAGGGAAAAAGGAAAAGGAGGAAAAGGAGGGAAAAAGGAAAAGGAGGGAAAAAGGAGGGAAAAAGGAGGGAAAAAGGAGGGAAAAAAGGAGGGAAAAAGGAGGAAAAAGGAGGGAAAAAGGAGGGAAAAAGGAGGGAAAAAGGAGGGAAAAAGGAGAAAAAAGGAGAAAAAAAGGAGGAAAAAAGGAGGAAAAAGGAGGGAAAAAGGAGAAAAAGGAGGGAAAAAGGAGAAAAAGGAGGGAAAAAAGAGAGAAAAAGGGGAAAAAGGAGGGAGTGGAAAATAAGGAGAAAAAGGGAGGGAAAAAGGGAAAAGGAGGGAAAAAGCGAAAAAGGATGGGAAAAAAGGAAAAAGGGAAAAAGGGAAAAAAGGTTAACGGGTGGAGGAGGACATAGGCGCCGGGGCCCCTTTTTTGAGGAAAAGAGGGAAAAGCTTTAAAGGAGGGAAAAAAGGTTCTCTCCTAGGAGGGTCCAAAAGGGAAAAGGAGTGGAACAAAGGAAAAGGAGGAAAAAGGAAAGGCAGGGAAAAATGGAAAGGAGGTTTACACTTGGCACAGACACAAAAAGCTTTGCATTTTCTCTCCAACCTCATCCAATCAGAGAATGCTTTGCATTCATTGAGAAAACACAAAGCAATCTCTGAACTGCACCCATGCCAAAAGGGTGACCTCTTGTGTTAACAGTGCAGCAGGGCAACTGCTTGGCATGGACCCAGAAGCTAGTGGAGAATCACTGTAGTACTGGTGCCTACTACAATGACTTCCAGGACTGTACGGGTGTCATTTACGCAGAGTTGCACTGGTCCAAGTTTGGCCAATGTAGCATGTAAAAATATCCATGTGTGGAATTATTTTTAAAGTGTAACTGCACTGCATCTGAACACCACAAACCAAAAATGCTATTTAATTGTGAATACTCAAAGCAAACTCACCCATCCATCATCATTTCTCCTTGCTTTATTTTGCTGAGAAAACTTTGAAAAACACCACCTAACATTTTTGGCATAAAGATCATGTAGCATTTACTTCCTGAATCTATCTACCCCTAGCTCAGGCACTGGCTGAGCTAAGAACCCTCCCCTCCTGAAGTCTGTTGGGATGCACTTACTTTTTCCCTTTTAGCTCCTGCACTTCCAAGTAACCATCCTCCTCCTCTTCTCCCTTCACCTGTTCAAAACAAAACCAGGAAAAATTAACACAAAAAAAAAAAAAAAAAAGTATAAAAGAACCACATTACAAAACAATGCAAAAAAAAAAAAACAAAAACCAAGACAATCTGATGTTGGCTACATTTAGAAAGGACACCTAAATCTGGTAAGTGGCCTTAGACAAAATACCTGAACAACTGCACTCAAAACGGGTATTTCAGGTTTCGTCAGACACTCCCTGGTTCATTAAGGCTCTGTTCACACTTGTGCAACTCCAAAGTCGCACAATTTCCACTGTAACTTTGATGTGACTTTACACTCTCAGGCACTCAGTTTGCATCAGAGTAGCACAGGGACTCACATAGATCCGAACAAGAGCCATCGAAATGTAAATGGAGCGTCACTCACAAACGTTTATATTGAAAGCTCCACTGGCAAGAACTTACCCTGATGGTCTGTGACCTCCCCCCCCCCCCACCCCCCACAATAAAGGTGAAAGCCTCGAAGAGCTGAATTCTCACTTCATGCAATGTTTTTACATACTATACATTGACATCAGTTGGAGAGAAGTCAGAACTCTATTGGCTGGTTTATCTCAGGAACTCCTGTGACTGATATCCATACTAAAACAAAAATGAGATATTGGGTGGAAAGGATCTTTAAAAATGCACCTTGTCTGTGCAGTGCAAAGCAACAATGGACCTGCAGAGGGCCCCCTTCCCACCCACTCACCGCCCCTTCCTCCATCACCAAGTTAGGGAATACCGATCGACTGATTTTAGCCTGCTCTGTAGCACTGCAATTTCACTGCTATGAATGCTCTTATCCACTTGGTCGATACATGTTACGGGTTTCAAATGCAATACCAGGATGATGCCTTGTAGTAGCCATCCAAGCAGCTAATTAGCTGGATTTTTTTTTTTTTATTTTTTTTTTTTTTTAGTAAACAGGTGGTGGGAGGAGGCTTTACAAGCCCCCCCCCCCCCATCCCCCAGTCTCTTCGGGATCTCTGTCCCACTGAAGATCTCCGAACTGAGGGCGGCTTACCATAGAGCCCATGGAGGTCTCCTATGAGCCTATTGATATGGGGAACTGGAAGCCACAAATACTATAGTCACTTTCAGCTTTCCTGGAACTAAACAGCACTATTTCTAATTCTCGAAAGCATTAGATCACACCGATCTTGGTGCGATCAGTTGCTGTTAGGGCAGAGGAGAGGTCTGGGGTCTTATTGATTAAATCTCTTCATAAAGAGTCCCTGTCACTGCCTATTCCCGTCACAAGTGATGTTTACATTCTATGAGACAGGAAAAAGAAAAGAAACAGAAAAAAAAAAAAAATTAAGTGCCCCATCCCCCCGTGCAAAGGTGAACACATATGTTGGTACCACACATATGTAAACAGCGATTATTTTTGAGTATTTATATAGCGCCAAAGGGTTTGCTCAGCGCTGTACATTAGAATGGGGGACAAGACATGAGACAATACAGTAGCAAAACAATACAATACACGAGGGGTTAGAGGGCCCTGCCCTTTCGAGCTTACAGTCTAGGAAGGAGGGGATGGCGATACAGGAGGAGATGGCTGTGGGGGATGGAGTGGAGTGAGGAGGAGTGGAGGGGATCAGCTGTTAGGTGAGGGTGGGGTAGGCTTCCCTGAAGAAATGGATTTTCAGAGTGCGCCTAAAGCTGAGGAGGGTAGGTGACAGTCTGATGGATTGGGGAAGCGAGTTCCAGAGGATGGGGGAAGCTCTGGAGAAGTCCTGCAGTCAGGCGTGGGAGGAGGAGACCAGGGAGCTACCACAGACGAGGAATTGCCGTGAGTGTCAGAGCAAGAGCAGTAATTCTAACGCCAGACGACCTCTGTTACTCTAAACTGGTAACCTGTAAAGGTTTATAAAGCGTCACCGATGGAGATTTTTCAATACTACAGTTTCGCACCATTCCACAAGCGTGCGCGATTTTAAAGCATGACATGTTTGGTATCTATTTGCTCAGCGTAACATTTTATATTTTACCAAAAAATTGGGTATTATATTGTGCTTGTGTGCATTAAAATTAAAAAAGTATTCCCCCCTTCCCCCCCCCCCCCCCCCCCAGAAATCTACAAAATGAGGGGGAATTCCCAGCAGTGTCACTATTTCAGAAGACTCAACTGGATGCCAACTATACAATTTCTGGTTCGGTGACCGGGCAAAAAAAAAAACCCCCCCAAAAAACACATGACTACTTAGCAGGGGGACAGACCAAAAAAAAAAAAAAGATAAAGTAAACTTGCCAGGGGTTCCAACCCCACCATCAAGAACAAAAAATAAAATCTGTTTTGCTCCTGCATACACTTTAAAATAGGGTTGGCAACAGTTTGATCATGGTCATGTGATGGGTAGGTTGGGTGGTCGCCATGCAGACTCTGTCAGAAGCGACGCAGGGAAGCTGCAGCAAGACTAAGATACCCGTTCTGCTGGACCCCGCAACTCCTCTCATGCATCAAACCTTAGCGCTTGTATGTGACACCAAACTTCTGGGATGTGAGATGTGGATTGCGGGGACCAGCACAGTAGAAAAGGAAGTGGGGGGGGGGGGGTCTCACTGCAGCTTCCCTGCAAAGCCTGACGGAGGAGTGACTTAAGCCATAAGGATCACAATTATGGGGGAGCCACTGACAAATAATATAAAAAGATATCACTGGGGCTCCCCACTGAGCATATAAGAAAAGCACTATGTGGGTGGGGGGGGGGGGGGGGGGAGGGGGTTAAACTGACAACCCCGAAGGTGATCTATGGTTTTATATCTCCGCCTCTCTGGGGTTGCTACCACACTTGAACCGCCTCCCACCCGCCATATAGTAATATGACGGACGCAAGGTGGTTCTCTTGTTCTGGGAGGACAATCAAAAACAGATCAGAGGACTGATGATCAGTGTGCCCTGATGATCTGCGTAGCCCCAGCAGCGCCACCTGTCATTGTCCATCAGTGCCAGCTCTCAGTGCTCATCCATGCCACCTTCCAGTGCCAGTCCGTGCCGCCTGTCAGTGCCATATATGAGTGTTGCCTTTCAGTGCCCATCAGTGATGCCTGTCAATGCCCATCAGTGCCACCTATCAGTGCCCATCACTGCAGCCTAATTAGCGCACATCAGTGAAGGAGAAAAATCACTTATTTACAAAATTTTATAACAAAAACTAAGAAAATACTTTTTTTTCCCTCTAAATTTTCAGTGGTTTTTGGTTTAAGAAAAAAAAAAAAAAAACCCTGAGATGAATAAATACCACCAAAATAAAGCTGCCAAAAAAAAAAAAATTATAAAAATTTCAAATGGGTACAGTGTTGCATGACTGTGCAATTGTTAAACTGCAACAGCGCTGAAAGCTGGAAATTGGCCTGGGCAGGAAGGGGGTTTAAGTGCCCAGTAGGCAAGTGGTTAAAATTAGGAGCGGAGTTCAAATAATCCATTCACGGTTTGGCTCTCCCTGCTCTCAGCAAAAGCTTGTGAGTATGGAGAGAGGAGAGAAAACACCAGCAAAGGGGCACAGTGCTGAATTGATATGGGGCTCAGGTAAATATTTGGGAGAGGGAGGGGAAAGATATTTTTACTTTAATGCAAGGAATGCATTGAGGCGGAAGAGAGAAAAAGAAAAAGGTGGTGAGAAAAAGAAAAAAAAGGTAAAAGGAGCTAAAAATCTCATCCTATCATGAAAGGTAGAATCAGCATTTCTGAGCAGAAGAGTCGGTAATAAGATTCCCCAATGTCAGGACTTGAAGGCCAAGAGAAAGAAAAAAAAAAAAAAAAAGAAAAAAAAACAAACTATAATCCTAAAATCATTCCTTATTTTCTTTCAAGTATTTATGCTGAGAAATGATACAATTATTTCCATCTGCCCAATCCTGAGCCAACTATGAAGTGTTGCAGAGCTCTCAGTGGATGAACTGACAGGAGGGACGCTGGAGTGCAGAGCAGGAAGTGACTGAGCGGCTGTGCTGACGTGTCACAATGTTACAGAGCAGCCCGGAGATGCGGAAGAGTCCCAGGGGGGAGGGAGCTGTCACTGCACAGAGGCTATCACACTGCATTGTCTGTGGTGCCCGGCATCCCCAGGAGTCAGTCCTACCAACAGACACCCCTCCACCTTACTATCACACTGCATTGTCTATGGTGCCCGGCATCCCCAGGACTCAGTCCTACCAACAGACACCCCCTCCACCTTACTATCACACTGCATTGTCTGTGGTGCCCGGCATCCCCAGGACTCAGTC